GCCGCTGCGGCCGCCACCCCCTGTGTCTCTGATGGACAACAGGGGCGGTTGCTCCCTATTTTCCGGATCCGTCCTTGGATTACTCCTGAGAGCTGTGTCGCTTCTGGCCCCGACCTCTCAACCGACCGGCCCCTAGGGTCCATTATTCCCGGTGTCTTTTCGTGCTGTCCGCGTCTCGCCCCCCCCCCCCCCCCCCCCGTTTTCCCCTTCCGCCTTTACATTCTCGGTAGATCCATGCCCAGAGGGGGCCCCCTTCCCTGGCGGCGTTCCATGTTGTTGTTGCCCTAGAACCAGCTTTGCAGTAGAGATCCCGAGAGATTCAAAATACATTCCAACTCCCTCCACATCCTGCCGCTTGCCTGCCTGATCCCCCGATCCCAGGTGCCCTGGGATCCTGGTACCGTGGAGGATCGCGTGCTCTGCTCACCGAAATGCCGGGAGGCGCCCTTCCGGAGCCCTCACTTCCATTTGTCCATTCTTCCGGCCCTCCTGCCGGGCTCTCTGCCTCCCTCTCCCTCTGTCTCTTTCTCTCTCTCTCTCTCTCTTCCTCCGCTCCTCTTTTTCTCTCTCCTTTTCCCGCTCCAACATCTCCCCACGGGCTCAGAAGAGAACATAAAAATGTCGACACGCCGCAGGTCAGGGGCTGGGCGAATACTCCTTGGCGAACCGCGGGGTCGCAGGCCGGGGAAGGCTGAAAACATGTCTGTGGCCCGAAGGGCGCAGAATACAAGGGGAGGGGGGCCAGGCGCCGGGGCCCCAGCCCAGTGAGACCACGAGCCCGATCGCCGCCCACGCTTGCCGGGATCTTATTATTGTTTCAGATGATGACAGATTCGCCAAAAGGGCCCGTGCGCCCGACGCTGCCACCCTGGGCGCTGGTCCGCCCCGATAAGGAGCCCGTAGCCGACCGCGGCGATCGCACCGCAGCATCTTGTGCCTTTCCGTCGACCAGCCTCGCTACTGCCCTGCCCCCCCCCCCCCCCCGTCCCTGCCCCCTGGACTTGGGCCGTCTCCTATGAGCTTCAGAGCACGTCCCCCCCGCTCACGTACAAACCCCAGTGGGACATCCAGCACCCCCGGGCCTCTGCTGACTCACCGGCAAAGAGCTCCTCAATACTCCTGAAGCCCGGTCGCTGGCTCCTCCACCCGGAGGGGCCACACTCAGGAGATGCCGATCTGAGGGTGCACATTTCGCTGGCCGACCATTTGCTTTCGAGCCTTTCGTCTCTCACCGGCTCATGCCACCTCGTCAAGGATCCCCCC